AAGGTCTACTCTTCTGCTTAACCTGTGTACTGCCGTGCTCACTGTCATTAAGCGTGACAGCTTTTAGTGTCATTTGCACACCTGGCCATGGAGAACCTCAGGGGAAAATGTGCTCACTTTCAGACGGTGTTTAACGGAGGACATGCTTGGCCAGTGGATTACTAACGGAGATGAAAGAGCCAAGTATTCTGCCTGTAACTGTACAGATGGCATCCAGGTAACCTTAAATAATCTTGGAAGAGAGAGAATGAACATGGGGCACTGGGAGGCCTTATAGGGTCTGTGAGGTGATGTGGGTGGACATGATAATAAGGGGATCTCTGGTGTTCAGATTTGTCTCTTTTATGGCCTTGTTTTTTTGCACCCTGGCTAAGCACAGATTGCATCAGTTTGGGGGAAGGAAGGAAAAATCATCCTGTGAAGATTCACTTGTTAATATATCTGTCTAGCTCCTCTTGGTGGGAGAAGGTTTAATGGTGCTTTTGACTGTTGTGTGATTGTCCCATTTAGCAGAGGTGAGTGTGCATTCACGAGGAAGATTACATTTTATACAGCACTGTCATTATTTGAAAGCACAGCTATTATTGCTGTTTGCTGTTCAGAATTTAACTTGATGCAACAAGTAGATCCAACTGTCTTTGCTCGGTATTATACATAGGGATGATAAATAGTAACAATTAGCATTGCAGTGGTACATACAGAACCAGATATGGACCCTGCAAGGCTTAGTGTCTTTATATGTGCTTAAGGAAAAGGCAGATTCTGTCTCAAGGACTTAACAGTTTAGTGTGTTGAGCTGGGAGTCCAGCTGACCTCTCTTTAGTGCTATTCACCAGTCTTCAGCTTTTTCTAGTAGGAAATAAGATCCAGGGCACAGTGTGATTCTGTTTGTAAGATAAAGCATGCACTTTGTTGAACATTCCTAGCTATCCCTTAAAATGCAGCTATTATGCAGGTTTTTGGACATAGTCTTAATCTCACATCATTAAAAGTATGGCATCGTTTTTCCAGTAGTCAGGATACTATTTGAAGCTGATTCTCACCTCCAGAAGGCACAGGCAGGTGTTCCTCAGCATGAGAGAAGCTATTTTGTCTATTCTGATGCAAAGTTATGAACAGATACGTGATGAGGAGGCTAAGGTTTTGTTATGTATGAGCTGAAAGAAGCAGCCAGCATGCTGGCTGATAGGATGTTTCAACCTTACAAAGCAGTCGATGCAAGTTTGACCCTCAGTGTGTTAAATTACATATTCGGGATAAGCCCAAGATTTCTTTGCAGCTCTGGACTATATTCCCAGTGACTGACAATACAGCAAAAGCATCTAGGGTGGCTGCTGATGAATGGAGGATGAGAGTTTGAGGTTGCTGCTCTGTGAGCTGTTTTGCTGTCTCTCATTGTCTGTGCAGTTGCTCTGAGGCTCTGCTAAATAAGACAGACCTGAATTCAGCAAAAATCTTCCTGTCTAGCACCAAGCACGTTTCAAGGTCTCACTGTTGCCAGTAGAACTAAAGTACAGCTTCAAGACAAGGTATCCTCGTAAGCACCTTGCTGGACATGTGCAAACCAACAAACAAGGATGCGTGCAGTGTGTCTCAGCACTTTGCAGATGACTAGTTTCTGTAGGAATCAGTCCCAGGACCAGAACATAGTCATGGCCTGCTCTTACCCTTGTCCTAAAACACCAAGTTTTAACTAAGACGACACAAACAATCTTCTTCATTTGTAACCTCTCAGACTTGCCCACCAACGAACTATTCTGCCCCTCACCGAAGAACGTTCTCCACGCGGATGCTTTATAACCTCACAGGGCACAATGTGGAGACCTACATCCTGGCAACTACCAAAGACTTCCTGCAAAAACGGTACAGTGTCAGTCCCTGTTCCTTCTCCTCTGCATTCTTTGGGGCACAGCAGCTGCCTATACATATAATTCCATTAGTTATACCAGTTAGCCAGGTATTTTGTACTGGTATCTTGCATGCTGATGGCTAGAAGTAGAAAGAGGCTAGGGGGGTGAATACTGGGAGCGTTATCCTCCCCCTCCTCTTTCTCCCCCAGATTGTGGCAGCAGATTGTGCGGGATGGGGAATAGAAGGGCCTTGCTGCTTTGGGTTTCTGTGAATCTGATGAAAGAAGGTAAAATGTATTGCAATGACAGAGTTACAGGGAAAGGTTCTTGCAAGTGCTGTGCTTCATCATAGCAGAGATAGCCTAGGGATAGCTTGTCAGTCACACGATAGGTGGATGGCTGGATCTGCCGACAAGCTTTTGTCTGGCTCTGAAATATTAAAAAAGAGGAAGATCTGACACAGCTTGTCCTGAAGTAAACCCTAGGGAGAGGGTAATTTTCATCAAAGTTTGCTTCTCTGAAGAGTCTTAGTGTGTGCTTCACTTCAACAAGTACCTCCATTCCAGCAAAGCCAGATTTGGAAATCTGAGTGAAAAGATGAGTGTTTTCTTATGCCATGGGACATAAGGAAAAAATAGAGCTATCAGAGTGTCCCGATGCTGCAGCAGAGTGTCTGGAGCAAAAAAATCCTGCCATTACGATAGTCAAGGGATGTGTTCGTCTGTCCGCTGGTTTCAGCTAAGCTGCTCGTCTTCTGGGAAAACGCACTCATCTTATTCCAGCGTGGTAGCCAACCAGGTTAGGAGCCTATGTAGCTCCAAAGGGTTTTTCAAATAGAGGCTGTCAGCCTGGGTTTGTGACAGAGCTGCCAAGTTTCTGTTCCCCTTTCTTTTTCCCCACAACAGGGCTCCTGCAGTATGTGGCCTAGCAGCGCATACTGCAACAAGCTCTTCCATACTCTCTCTTGTAAGTCGACTAGGATTAATAGAGGTGATGGTGCCATGCACTGCATGACTGCTGCAGCAGAGCCCATGCTAAGTGACACTAGCTAAGGCTCCAGTGCATCCAGGTAAGGGTAATAACATTTACCTTTGCTTTCCACTCAGGTATGGTGGCTGGAGCTTTGGGTTGCCTTTGACTCCAGATCTCCAGTTTGATATCAGGCCTGTGCCCCCCAACAGGAGACTGACCAAGGTAACTAAACTTCCTGCTCATAATACCAAAGGAAATGTGGGACCAAGGAGGGAGTGCTGTGAATACAGGGATGTTTCAGGAGATAAAAATGAGTCCTCCTGAAGGCTGCAACTTGACATGGAGGAGATAACTTGCATGTCCTTTCCTCTCCCCATTCTTCTCTATTGGCCTGTCTTCTCCTAGCAGGAACAATTTTTCTGCTCTTACAATTTTATTATACAGAGGTGAAAAGATAAGTTAATGGCATCTTTCTCTCCTAAGAGAACATATATACACTAACTAGAGCTGGCTTGTATGTTCTGATTTACTGGATTCTCTGTTTCTGCTCACTGAAAATGTTGTAACACATCAGTGTTAAAAGCAACAAGGCTGAAATCTGAAGTAGCAGGAAATGCAAGAGAGTTGACAAGATGCAGATACCTCTTGGCAAAACCTGACTACCATGGGAGTGCTCCTGCTAGTGCAGTGCTGTTTTCAGAGGTGGTTCCCGTCAGAGGGAGTCACAGGGTTTATTGCTTTTCTAACACACAGAGCTCATGGGCTCAGTTTGCAGATGGTTTTCCCCCTTCCCATCTCGCAGGCTCATCCTAGATTTAAACGTTATTTGTGTTTGTTTATTGCTTGTCAGATTAAGTATCTGGAAACCTGGATAGTATTTGAAATAGGGACAAACTTCCAGCTCTCTTTTCCTCGAGCAGTGCTTGCTCTATTAGGACTGGGAGAATAAAACCACTGAGGATTTGGAGTAGACAAAGACAGTGCTATGGGTATTGTGTAAGCCTCTAACCTTAATAGCCTAAACGTTGTGATGTCCTTGGGGAGATAACTTACACCTTTGACTCGGAGCCTATGCATTGGGCCTAAAGTAGGTGATGGTGAATTCACACAAACTGCGCGTCCAGTGTTGTATTTATATATATATATATATATATATATAAAAGAATATATATATTATCCTAACAATTTCTCTCTTAATTTGTTTTGATTTCTCAATTGTGTGCAGGTATGGTACAACCCAGAAGGCTATCACAGCCTTCCAGCCTATCTGAACAGCTTGAACAACTTCCTTCTTCGAGCTAACCTGCCAAAAAATGAGACTTCCAGATATGGTAGGTGCCTGCTTTGCGTGAACAGATATTTTCTCCCCTTTGCAGGGAATATCCTGATTTTGTTAAATTCAGTGACAACACTTACCTCAACTTCAGTGAGGCCAGTTCTTTATTCTCAAATACATGAATGCCTTTAAAAACATGAATTGAAAACATGAATAAATAGCATTACTCAAAAACTTGGTGGAGTTGAACGAGGAAGCCCTTAGCTCCTATGTAAAACACTCCCTTTATCCCACAGTTGGTGACAGTTCCTATTTGTCTTGCTGCCTTTCACCATTATACTGGAATAACTGGATTTTCAAGAGGTGCCCATTATTTATGCACAGAAAAACTACTTTAGGTTATCTCCAGGAGTGGTTTATATTAGTTAATTTTACTATTTCACCCTTCTGCTGAGAGGAACTCAAGAGGTGAGTGTGCATGTGTTTGTGAATGCGAATGAGCGAGATTAATGTGAGATTAAGTGAGAAACAGCTTTTAGCTCTATTTTTCCTCTGACATGACACACACAGTGTTGCTGGCCCACGTGGGGTTATCAGTTCTCCAAACTTCTCCTCACTAATGGGATGCAGTAACCCAAATTCCCACTGATAAACCAGGGTTGCCCTATTGTACTGGTTGTTGTTTAGTCTACATTAAAGGTGAAGTCTGGACACAAATATTTATTTGTATGTATATGTTTCTAGCAATGAAAAGGGTGCAGGATGAGGAAAAATTACATTGGTGGCATTTTGAGAGCTCTTATTCAGAGACTGGTGGGATGTGATGAGACTAGTGATAATGGGCAGAAATGCTCTGCTGGTGATTTTCTTTGACAAATGCTGGCCTTTGAGCCATCTCCTGATCATACTTAGTCCCCCTCAACTCAGCTGGCTGCAGCTGCAGGTGCAAGTGAGGTAGGTGCCGCTATCTTTTTCGTTATGAGCTCTTTGCTCATGAGGCGTTTCCCCAGTGATGAATATGAATTTAGATATAATGAAAAAGGCATCTGGTCTGAAGCTTTGCTTGCCATGCCATGAATTAAAGACACGGCAGAATGCTGATTACAGAGTCAAAACAAGATGCTTGTCTTTCCACCTCCACATACTGATGCTCTGAAATTCCCAAGAAGCTCAGCTCCCAGCAAGCAAAACCAGCAGCAAAACCAGCACCTCGGCCCCACCGCCGTCCCGAAATACCCGCGGGCTCGGACACCTGGGATTTGCAGCATGTCCTCGAGGTTGGAACATAGGTCTGCGCTGGAAGAGCATATTGCAAAGCTGCAGCCTCTGCCCCAGTGGGGAGAGAGGAGACCTGAGCGGGGCGCTTGCAGCCGCACAGACATCCCAGAGCAACTGAATTATTAAGCAGTGAAGTTTACCCTGTCTCTGTATTCCCAGCACATGCTGCTGTGAGAGCAAAGGCAGGAAGTTTGTGTGAACAGTCAGAAAGTTTTCCTGGGGATAGTCTGCTGCCAGCAAAATAACAATTGTTGGTGAAAAGGAATAGCACCATTTTTTATTCCATCTGTCCTGCTGCTTCTGTGGTTTTGGAAAAAAATAAAGAATAGTAGTAAATGACCAGACGTAATTCTCCACTTCTCACTAATGATCCCATCCATAGAATGGGGAAAATAAAATGAATGGATGAGGATAGCTCCCCCAGGGTAGTGTAAATCCACTTTGAAATACAATTGAACAGACATTCTGTGTGGTATGTTCCTGGCAGCTAGATCTATTTGTTGTTATGACAAATAAATGACAGTTTAAGAACCATTGAAATGGCCAGATAAAAGTATGTTGTCATTTCAGCAGTTTAAAAGAGGTGCCAGTCCTGCTTTAGACGTTTGACTTAGACTGCATATATTTTTAAAAAATACATAAAGAGCTTTTTACTCTGTCACTAAGCAAATCATAATAGCTTTTGACTTATGTATATTGTGCTTTTTCTTCTCTCAATCCTGACCAACAAAAAAGAGAACGCATTGAAATGGAAATTTTGACTTCTAGCCTAAGCTTCAGTAAAGAAAAATGGCTTTATAGTGAAGCATTAACAGATTAGACAGACTTTTTCTCTCTCCCTTTTAGAGAAGGGAAACATTTCCTGGCTGTTGCATGTCTTTATCGGCAGCCTGAGTTTTTAATTCCATTTTGCTCCCTGACAACAAGGTTGAGATTTTAGCCCTCAAAGAAGAATTTTATGGGAAATCTTTCTTTTCAAATGTATATGATCAGTTTGGCATTTGATCAACTAAACCTGCAGTCCCCTCCTCTCTAGCCATATGTCAAGAGTGCTAGTTCTTAGGGAAAGGAGCACAGAATAGTTCTTCTGCCTCATATTAACTACTGAAAGTCAAGCACCTGTCTGTAAGGAGCTTAAATTTCAGACGTGGTGTGTTCTGTGTTCTTGCAAATCTTTTTGATTTAATAGCAAGTAGAGGTTCTTCAGCGCACTCTGAGAACTAAAGCATTTATTTGAGTGCCTAAATATGGATTTAGAGCCTCACTTTTAGGCACATGAATGTCTGAGACTAACACCTGTAGAAGGTTTTAGAGTTTAGAGTCTGGGCTCTAATTGCACAGACCTTCTCTGGAGCTTGGAGGTGGCCCAGCAGAGCCCCCAAGGTTCTTCCTCTTCTTGCAAAACTGTTTTTGTAGACACAGATTGCCTCTAAACAAAGCAAGTATACTCAAATGCATGATACCGCTGTATTCTGGGCTAAATGTTGTTCTTAAAGAAGTGTATAAAGCAAATCTTTGTTGGATGTCTGCACATTTGTCTCTTGCTGCTTGTTGTCTGGAAAAAAAAACAATGCATTTTTTAAGGGATCTTTCTGGAAAAGACAGGCATGTCACACTGTGCTACTCAGCCCAGTAGCTGGGTTTTAGGTTTATTCTTTGGACAAAATATTTTATAGCTGCCTAAGACAGAAACGTTCAGAATTAAGTCATTACCAAGCTGAGACAGAAGTGTCGAAAATTACTTGCTTTTATGCTAACATCTCAACAGATGCCTGTGCTGAGAAAAACAAATAATAGGAAGATAATAGCTTCCTAATAAAGGCCGTAGGAATGATTTTTTTCCTCTAATGAATGAGAGAATGAATGAATTGCATTAAATGTTGTTGTTTTTTTTAATAGGTATTTTCTTATCAGCTCATCCATATCCTGGAGGACAGAGTCAAGAACAAGTAATGTAAGATTCATTTGACTGTTGCTTGAATTATTTGGCTGCAACAGAAGCAGACTTGCTCTCTGGAAACTAAGCAGCCTAAATTACTGTGTAACTTCCTTTAAATGATGAATCTGTCCTGTTTCCTCACTTCATTCCCACTACACACGAGTAATATCCCTCATGCCACCAAGACTCCTGTTAGACTTCCCGCACAGAATCCCATATTCATCTGGAAGTCACAGTCACAGCATTGCACATTGTACTTGGGCATAACAGTAATAATTACTTTTTTTTTTTCCTCTTGACTTTTCTAATCAGTATTGTGGTGCTATGTTATGACTCACTGCTGCCAATACTTTTAGTTAGGCATAATACTTATGTCCCTATGTTCAGCAAAAAATATTGGCACAGAATTGGGATATCCTTGCTTCTGAGCTCCCACTTCTGAGTGGGAGCTCTGAGCACCTCACTTCGCAATGCCTCTGCACTGAGAGAGCTCTACGACTTTGACTCACCATGTACTTCTTTCTCCACTATTTTTCCCAGGCTGAACAGCTTGCTTGATATCATCGTTTCAATGTCTGTTCTGGTCGGCTACTCTATCACAACAGCCAGTTTTGTGCTATATGTGGTAAAAGAGCATCAAACCAAGGCCAAACAACTGCAGCATATTTCAGGCATTGGAATGACAAGTTATTGGCTCACTAACTTTGTTTATGACCTGGTAAATAATTCACATTCTTAATTGCATCAAGAAGATAATTCAGTAGCAAGATGGGGAAAAGTTCTTTAAAGTCAGTTGCCTAAACTTACTGATATTATCGCTGTCAAGAGTGTTATGTAGTAATTGTTCTCAAAGGCACTGAACACTATTAAATGTGAACCATCAGACTGGATTTTGCCAAGCAAAGGCATTTCTCTTCTCTCCTGAGTATATGCAAAACAGTCAGTGCATTTCTATGAAAGCAACATAGAAGAGGCCAGATCTTGATTTAAATTTTAGAATGCAAGCCCCATGCTGCTTTTCTCTTAGCTTACAGGGATAGATTAGCTGTTATGTAGGCTTTCTGCATCTGGGTAAGGATTTGGGCTTGAGGCTATAGCCATTTTGGATCCCTGGGAATGCAGGGTGCTCAATTGGCAGGCAGCTCCCAGCTGAGAGTCCTCCATTGGGCAAAAAACCCTTGGCTGGATTGAATGCTCACTTTACGTTTTTATATTGTAAATGTTTCCAAGCCAAGGAAAATTACTAATGCAGCTATATGTCTTCTAGGACCTGAGCAAGTTCCCCGCTAGAATGCTGCACTGCGCTGCATAGATTTACCACCTTGTTCCTGTAGATAGTTGAGCTGCCTAGCACTGTGCTGCGTTATGAGGTGTGGGCATGCCCTTCAATCCCTGAAGTTTTAGTTCCCTGATGATAAAGAGGGTTAATAGCACTGCTGGAAAGCGTCCCTGGGCTCTGAGGATAAATATGCATGGTATCTGTAGGCTCAAATGCTTTGTGTCTTATGAATTACTTGCAGTGCCCAATGTCAAACCTGTGCTTAGCTAGAGCTGCACATGCAGCTTCTCCTCCTGCTTGTGAGTTTTGGCATTGCCCACTGCACCATAATGGTGATCAGCCCTACTTAGCTTACAAAGTTCCACTGATGCAATTTTACTAGTGTCTAAAATCCCAGCAACATTGTCAGTTTTTGAACATATGAAGCCTTCAAGGGCATTTAGGTGGCCAGCTGCTGTTTGAGCCCATAAGGACTGAGGACTAAAAAAATCTTCAGGAAATGTGAGCCTTGGCTTTTTCTGCACAGCCCCCAGCACAGCTTAGCCTTCTAGGAGTTATGGTAACACCAACGTATGCTAACAAGGCAGCCCTAACAAGAGTGCATTTGCCACCAAATATCCTGAACTGCCTCTTTTTAGGAGCTGGCATAGTCAGGCAAAAGCATGAGCAACTGTGCAGAAGCCCAAGGATGCAGCAAGACTTTTCTGCTTCCCTCTTCTGGACCCTCAGTCTGGCACTGCGTTTTTGTAAATCTGTCTGTGGAAAAATCCCCAGAGTCCTCACCACAATCAGTATTCAGTGGGCTGAAACTAATCCAGCGCTCTCGGCAACTTGATATTTCTCCATGAATCCCTGCCAGTAAATTCTGTTAAATCCCAAAGCTGGGGAAAAGAGGAACCTCTTGAGGCAGAGGCTTGGTAGGTCCCTGGCTTGGCACAATATAATAAAGAGCAGATTTACAGGGCACAATGAAGTCGTCTGACCCCAAGGCTAACAGGGAGACCCAAAGGGGTATTTTTCATTCATGTCTTTTTTTTTTTTTTTTTAAAGGCACTTTCTGCCCATAGTCCTGAATGTTGAAGCTTAGCCTATTCAAAAAGACTTTAAGTGAATTCCTGTTCAAGTCTTCCCAAAATTTGTAGAAGCCTGGGACCCTACCTGCATTTGTTTTGCCTTAGAAAACCCAAACAGCACTTGTGGGACCAAATTCAGACCCGGCATTAGTATAATTCTAGAAAAATATTTAAGAATTCTCATTCTAATAACATGTTTTTAATATAATTTTGCAGGTACTCTTTATGGTCCCTATTGGACTCTCAGTAGGAGTTATTTCAGCCTTTCAGATACCAGCTTTTTGCAACAACAACAACTTACTGGCTGTATTTCTTCTGCTGTTACTGTTTGGGTAAGTGGGGAGCTTAGTTTTTATTTGAATATCATTGCACAGAGTGAGAGATTGTGCCTTGCAGGCTGCTGGGATTTGGGATGCTAAGGAGGAATACAGGGGCTTGGTTTCTTCTGTTCCTTCAAGGAGCAGTGAGTTAAACTGTTGTTGTCAGGCCTGTTCTATTCACAGCAAACTCTTGAAGTGAGAGTATGAAATATTCAAGCTCATAGTGACAGCCCAGCCTGTAAACACATTCTTACTCAACTGTTGCAAAGTTTGGGATATGGAAGCATTTTAACAACGGGGTGGAGGGGAGCAGCAAAATTTAGATAAAACAGGAAAATTTAGCTTTCTGATACTTCCAGTCTGTCTTTCGGTCTGGTCTACATGCTAAAATATGTATCATAACTTCTTTTTTCCTCAAAAAATTCTAGTGGAATTTTTCCTTTAGAAAACATTTTTCTTCCCATGAGCTCCTATAATATGAAAATCTAGTAACATTCTTTTATGTAGTGCCTGAGGTATGGGTTCCTGAGCCGAGGTCTTTAGTTGCTGGTTTTCAGCCACTCTTTGAGCTACTGTAGCATTCTCTGTGCTGTTGGTGATTTGTAGATATGCAACATTTTCATGGATGTACCTGCTGGCTGGGTTCTTCAAAGAAACGGGAATGGCGTTCATCGTTTATGTCTGCGTCAACTTGTTCTTTGGCATCAATACCATCATTACTCACTCGGTTGTGTTCCTGCTCTCCCAGGAAAAGGCCACAGACCAGGTAGGTCTCTGCTGATGCTTCGGTTCATCAATTGACACTTTGGGGTCTCCACCAGTAACTGGTAAAAGAACCAGAGTTGTCTTGTTGAGTTTGGCAGGTGTGAATTGGATCCTTAGCAGTTGGCTGGTTTCAGGTTTTTTGAGACAGGTCAAGCACAGGAAGCACATCCCTGAATTTAAGGGAGTTTCCTGTAGGTAGGATGTGGGACAAATAAGTCTTCCTTGTTTGTGTAAATCCGTTCTCCTAGAGAAGAAAGAAATAATGTTGTGAGGGAAGTTTATATTGAAAAAGAAGAAAAAAGATAGAAACTTGTTTGATACAAGGTTGATGGGGACTTAACCGTTGTTCACTCCTTGCAGTACAAATTGTGGAAAATGACAACTAGATTTCATTGCCCCAAGTCTAAAGTGTGCTGTGCTAAGCACAGCAGCAGCTGTCTGTCATCTAGATGTGTAATGCAATCATCTTCCTCCTGCAAGGGTGAAAAATGACTCGGAGACATTGATGTTTCCCTGAAGTCAAGCCTTGTCTTAAGTAGTGATTTCCCTGGGAATCGGTGGGTTGAAATGTATATATTATATTAGGTTTCCGTTTTTTTGTGTCTTTTTTATTATTATTTAAAAAAAAAGGTAATTGCTTGATAAAACAATAGTTTTACACCTTGACAGTGCTCATTTAACAAGCCCCTGGATTTGAGGGATGTACAGTCCTGATCTTCTATCCTTCTGTGCCTCAGAGAGTCTCCCCATCCTAATTTATTGCCTTCCCTCTTTGCTCTGCATGCTAATGTTTCTGGAGATGGTTGCCCCAGGAGAACTGGTAGGACTTGGGCTACAGAGGAGCAGGACTGGGGAGCAGCCCATGCTCTTCCTGAGAGCCTCTGCATTGGGCTGCTGCCGCTGCCATGCAGCTCAGCAGGGAATATTCAGCTCGGTTCCCACACAGGTTTTTGGCTGCTACATGCATGGGATAAGACAGCTGAAGCAGCAGTGAGCGACATACCAAGAACAGGGTGCTGTTTGCTGTGGGTGAACTGCTCAGAGCCCCAGAGCTGCCTGCTGACTTTTCTGACCTTGTGAAACAAGCTGTCTCCAGAGCTCTTCACTCTCAATTTATCTTTGCTCTGAGACACTAGCAAATCCCAATGTAATTGTTACACTTCAGCCCCATGGTGAAATCTCTGAATTTATTCTGTGAATAAAAACTGCAGTGATTGCATTGCTCTTTTTCAGGGCTTGCGTGACCTCGCTGAAAACTTGAGGCACGCGTTCCTCCTGTTCCCGCAATTTTGCTTTGGCTATGGCTTGATTGAACTCTCACAGGATCAGGCCCTGCTGGGCTTCTTAAAAGCCTATGGAGTGGACTACCCCAACAAAACCTTCGAGCTGGACAAGACCACATCCAAGCTGCTCGCCATGTTTATCCAGGGCACCGTGTTCTTTGCCATCCGTCTCATCGTTCATGATGGGATGATGCAGAAAGTCTGGAGCAACATATTAGAGTAAGTAGCACCTGGACTCTCATAGTGAAGGGGGACCGAGCCAGTGCTCAGTGGGTTAATTCTGGGCTCCCGCCCCATTGTTGTGACTAATGAAGCCCACACATTTCCAAGACACTTTGCAAAACAGGGTAAGTTTTCTCTGGAAGGAGTCCCACTATCCACCACTAATTAGACATTAACAGAGATACCAGTTACTGGAGCCCCTTTGGTAGTCCCTGCTGGCTTGAACTGTTCCCTGCATTCAGGGTTCTGGGTTCACTGGGTTGATAGGTGGTTAGAAAGAGGTGTCAGTCCCCTGAGCCTTTTCTGTTTGCATCCGCCCCCACCTCCTGCACCTTGGGTTCCACAGGGGGGAGGGTGCTGGTCACTGGAGCACTCCTGTCACCCGCACCACAAGCATCGCCACAAGGCAGGACCTCCATGTGGTCACTGTATTTGCTGAGCAGCAGAAAAACCTTGGGCAGAAAGTGAACACGGAGGTTTTTAATTTCCTAAGTGGAGCAAGTAGCCAGAGAGGATTGAAACTGGCTGCATCTCTGTGTATACTTGCACGCCCTGACATCTCACGGGAAGGCTCCTATGTATCCCATACCCATGGGGCCACTCCTGGCCGTGCTTGCTTCAAGACTAAGGGCACCTCTGTCCTTCCTGTAGATTCTTGTTTGACAGTGTGCATGGCAAAGCGTCACTTTTGCCACCCGTGGCCGAAGAGGATGAGGATGTCCGGGGGGAGAGGCACCGAGTGGAGTCCGGCAAAGCTGATTTTGATGTGGTACAGCTCCAGAATCTCACAAAGATCTACCACCTCCCTCACAAACGCATTATGGCTGTTAAAAACATCAGCCTGGGGATTCCTGCCGGAGAGGTAAGTGAGGGTGAAAGCTGCAGCACCTCCCGGCGCAGGGAGGGAAACCGGAACAGGTCCAGAGCCCTGCTACATTCTTCTCTCAGTCCTTGCCTCAGTCTGGCACAACTGTAATGGTTTGTTTTGCACTGAGCTCTTCCTTCTCTCTTCCCTTGCTTTGCACTTACTGATTATTTATTGATTCTCTGTGTTATGGTGATTCTCTGTGACATGTCGTCCCAAATCCACCAGGAGTCTGGTGGATTTGGGACACCAAATAATAGTCTGAATACACTCAAAAGAGTGGGTGGGACTGTGGTGAAGGTTTACTTGGAGCAACATGTGTCTGTGCTGTGCTTGTACAGCACCTAACCTGGTGGGCGTACGGCACGTCCCTGTCAAAGCTGCTGCTATGCCGAAAATGAGCACAGCAGCATTTTTCCAGTTGCAGTGACCCACCTAAGCTAAACCACACGTGAAGTGAAGCGAGTAAGGCTTATCTCCTTGTGTTTCTCCATCTGGGTAAGTCTAGTGACTTCAGCTGGACAGGCATTTCCATGAACCAGGAATTAAAACTGACTTCAAAGAAGCAGCGTCCTTTGGTCATGTCAATTTGATTACTGGTGAAAATACCAACCCATGAGAAAAGAAAAGACAGGAGCTCACAGGGCACCTCTGCAATGCAGAGAAAAATTCTGAGAGTCTGGAAACCAGACCCCATCTCAGGCTTTGCAGCTGGCTTGTGAGGAAGCTTGAAAGCTAACCTTGGTCCCAGATCTTTTGAATTCCCTGGATCCCCTTGTGATGCTGGGTGTATGAAAGGCCTGAGGGTGCTGGGCAGCAGGGGAGCAGACTTGCATGGAGAATGAGCCCATTGATTTTCTGGCAGAAGATTTTTCAGAGCCACAGCTGGTACTGAGGCTTCCAACTCCTTGCAGAAGTCAGAGCTGCTGGTTGAATTTTACACCCCATGCCCCATCTGTGAGCAGATGCCATGGCCCTGCACCGCACGCTGTGCTGAGATATTGTCCCTGCACAGACCTCAAAATGGGAGAGAGTCCCAGATTGATGCTGCACTGGGCACAGCACAGTTTTTAGTTCATCTAGTCCCTATAAATGATATCAAAATAATAGTAATTACCAGCACAATGGTGATTGCTTAATGCAACACAGAGCAGCGTATCTCCAGCCTTAGTAATAAAACATGGATTTTAGCATGAGAAACTAAATTGCACTAAAGGGAGCAAGTTCTTAATCTTATTAATGTAGTGCATTAATGAGATTATTTGATGAAAATCTTGCGTCACATTAAGTTTTTACCAATGACAGAACAAATCTCACTCCCCTCGCTCCTATGAATAGCTCTGTTCGTGTCAATGGGAGGCTTTGCGCAAATTAGGTGATTGAGATTTGGCCTGTCAGATCGGCTCACTAGGAGAATGCACTTCATAGGAAAAGGCACAACGGTATTAGAAATACATCCTTGATTCTTCATCATATTAAACAAATGGTCCTAATATAAGCTGCAGTATATTGCACCATAAACAACCTCCATTATAATGTTTGTACGCTCTGAGAACCTCTTCCTCTTGTGTAATTCTTCTTACTCAAGGGCCCAAAGAAAAGAAATGACAAGTTGCACTGAACTCAGAGTGATATTTCTGCATTATAAATACCTAATGGTTGCATTTCTCTGTTTCTTTCCTGCAACCTAGTGCTTTGGTCTGCTTGGTGTGAATGGTGCTGGAAAGACAACCATCTTCAAGATGCTGACAGGTGATATTGGAGCTTCCAGCGGAAGGTTGCGGGTCCAGGACCATTCTGGGTATGAAGGATGTGATTTCTGGGGAAGGCACATGATATAAACTGTTCTCCAGGCTGATTTAAAGAACTGACAAAGGCAAAGAAAAGTAAATATAAACATCTGGAACAATATAAAACATTCAAAAATGGAGTAAAAAAGAACAAGGCAGGGAGTCCAGCTCTTTGAGTTGCTTCCCTGGGGTTTGTATTTTGCTAGGGCATCTCTGCTGTTCTCAGTGGTATTTTTCTCAATTTGTTCTATTGCATATGGGGCCCAAATCAGATTCTTATCTGAGTACAATCATACTTCTGAGCTAGTATCTGGAGTAAGAGCACTTTAGGATGGAGTAAGCTTCGTGGTAGCTGTGCAATCTAAAGTGCTGGAAGTAACTGGAGAGTCAGGTACCAGACAGTGTGGCTAATCCCCATGTAAACACAGTGATTCTGTGGCAGAACTGAGGGCCTGAAGGCTGAAGGTCTGCACATTCAAAGCATTTTATTTCAAGGGTTGGGGAAGGCAAGTAGGAAGAAATAGGGGCATGTCTTTCTTCCTGCCATCTCTTTCATGGAAGGCATTGGCATTTCAGCGTGTCTAAAATGAATTGCTGGCTTCCTTACACAGGTCCTTGAATGACATTGGTGAGGCACACTGGTCTCTCTTTGGCTACTGTCCCCAAGAAGATGCCTTGGATGACCTGCTGACGGTGGAAGAGCACATGTATTACTATGCTAGGCTTCATGGCATTCCCGAGAGAGAGATCAAAGGAGTGAGTAAAACTGGGGATTAATTCAAGGCATGTTTCAGTCATGGGGAGTTTTACCTTGAATTAGCAAGTCCTTTAAGAAACAATAAAGGTTAATGGTGTCAAAATCTGAAATCCTGGCTTGGGACTGTCTTGCTCAGCAACCAGATGGCTGTTGTGTGAAACAGATCTGCATTGCACTGTGGAGTCAGAGTATGGCACACAGTGAGTTGATACTGCTTAATGGTCTGACATTAAAAGCAGATTCATAGACGCCATGAAAAACTTCAGAGGAAGCAGGATTGCAGGTGCTGCATTTACAGGTGATTGCTGAGGCAGCTTTTAAATGATGAGGCAGAACAAGGGATGGCAAAAAGATTTGTAATAGGTGTCCACCTGCTGATTTATTCATGGCCACTATTTTGAAATCAGTACCTTTTTTTCCCCCACAGATAGTACTCCAGCTTCTCTACAGGCTGAATCTAATGGCCTACAAAGACAGAGTCACCTCTATGTGCAGTTATGGCACGAACAGAAAACTGTCAACTGCTCTGGCTCTCATTGGAAATCCATCAATTCTGCTGCTGGTAAGAAACTCTGGGGCCTTGCTGGGTGAAAGATGAGCCCATCTCTGCATTCACTTTGATAGTCCAGTGAAACCTACTCTGACACAGCCCACAGGGCACTCTCCAAACGCTTGCACTTAACATGACAACACATGCATCAGCGGAAGATGGAGATTCCAGCACATACCGAAACTTGCTTTTGGGCCTAACAGAGTCGTGAATCTGCTACCTGTTCTATTAGTATTTTCCAGGGGTCAAAAAGAGATCCTGTATTTACCATTTCAATTTCCCATTCCTGGCTGTTTCTTGATCTTAATAAATTAAGAGCTCTTGACTACCTTGCACAGATTCTGCAGGAAAGTGGCATCTAAGACTGCAAAACCACGGGAAGACAAAAGAGCAGCTTCTGTCAAGATTAGAATTTAAAAAAACTTCTAGATTTGGCTCTCTGCCTTCTTTTCTAATTTTCCAGTTTTTCTTGTGAGATCTGTCATTTTTAAAATATCCCTTTCGTCAAGATTAGAATGTAAAAAACTTCTAGATTTGGCTCTCTCTGCCTTCTTTTCTAATTTTTCAGTTTTTCTTGTTAGATCTGTCATTTTTAAAATATCCCTTTTGGAAGCAATTTTTTACTTGCTAAGTTCTGAATATGTAAAGTGGTCTGTAAGCAGATTTCTCACTGTTGTATTTGATCCATAGGATTGATATCCTAGGACATAGATTTGTCCCAACTTGCATCCAGTCTGGCATTTCTGCTTTAACTTCTGACCACGTACAGCAGCCTTTTAGCTACTTTTGCTGCTAACAAAGTCCCAATAAAATGGAAGGCGGTGAAAATTCCCTAGTATTGACTACTGCCAGAACCCAAACTGTTTTATTTCTGCCTCACATAGTGTGTTATACTCCACAATAACAATTTAGCACTCAGAAATTGGCTAACAGTGTTATCAGCAATGCATAAAGCGAGAGACAACGAACCATCTTTCCATCTCTAGCGTATTGTCTTGCTTGCAGAGAGGCAGAGTGCAGGTGCATGTGGGGACCAAGTGCCAATTGATAGCTTTTCATTTGAGATTGTGCCTAGAGTGTTTATGGGAATTTAAAACAACATGGTATAAAATGCACAGTAGAGTTGGTCTTAGATGGCATTACCCAAAATGTTCAAAGGAGTCCAAGTGAAGCTGGGAACCTGGTGACCCAGAGTTGCGACTGTAGAGGAGTGAGGCAGCTCCAAAGCGCCATGTAGGTGGAGACTGGGACAATCTGACTTGCTTCTGCATGAAGAGAGCCTGGGATCAAACTTGTAATGCTAGTAAGAAGCTTTTCTCCATAATCTGTACCGACGGAAGCTGATCTATGGGATGTTGAAAATCTAACATAATGGTGACCCCCAAATGCACACAAGTATTAGGAAGATCAGATTTTGTGTGAAAGTTTGCCTTCAGTCCTGTCTTTCCCTGTAGGATGAACCAAGCTCTGGAATGGATCCAAATGCGAAGCGCCACCTCTGGAAAATCATCAGTGAGGAAGTGCAGAACAAATGCTCAGTCATACTCACATCCCACAGGTAGGGCTGCTTTGACTTGTCTCTGCAACAGCTTTGGAATTTTGCTGTGGCTGAGTGGGGGAACTCGGCACTATTAAAGTGCCCCTATAGAACCACAGCACCTTAACGCTTTATGGGAAACTAGGAATGTTCTGATTGCTATATATATACTTTTTAGTACCTTTGCAATGACTTACTAGAGTTTCTTGGTTGTTTTTTCAGCATGGAGGAATGTGAAGCCCTCTGTACCAGGCTGGCTATTATGGTGAATGGAAGTTTTCAGTGCATTGGCTCCCTGCAGCATATCAAGAGCAGGTCAGTAAAATGTACCTATTTCACTCTTACCGAATGGCATATGGAGTTATTGACATAAGATAGCTTTGAGGGCTCAGTTCATGAGACCCTTGCTAATAAGGGGCATGACAGTAAAGCCTTGTTTTATTTCATTTTTCCTACTGCACCCTTGAAACTCTGTGTTAGTAATGTGTTTTCTGCTCACTTACAGACTGCTTTCAAGAGATGTGTTCCCCAAAATAATCTGCCCACTGTTTTAAATGGAAAATACATGGTGGGGGTGAGCTTCAATTTTACTAGATACCGCAATAGCTCAGTTCCTTATTGAGGTTCATGCCAGGTTAACATACCTAACACCATTCACTCTGCCAGGGCTGCATTCACCCAAAGAGAGGCAGTGCAGCCCTAGAAGATTTTTTTCTGTTTTTCTTTCCTATTGTGTTTATTTTTTTGGTTTTTTTTTTCCCTCCTAGGTTTGGAAGAGGATTTACTGTGAAGATGCACTTAAATAGCAACACAGTTAGCACAGAGATGCTGACACAATTTATGAAGTCACACTTCCCAAATACATGCCTGAAGGTAAATGGCAAATGGGATCAGGGGATGCCTTCTCGGTCTCCTTGCATTAGCCAAGAGTATCTTGTAAGTCACACACCTTGTAACAAATTGTATACATAGATCTGTGCTCTCAGTGTAAGGGATTCATGCACATACTTGTCAATCCTATCAGCAGCATTGCCTGAGGGTTAGAGCATCCAAGTTCCCTGGTGGCATAAATAATCTCAGCCAAATGAACTTCTGCTCCTGTGACCAGTTCCACTGAAGCCCTGGGCTGCAAGGATATTCACTTTATACTCAGTGGGAAATGTGTTGGTCAAATCCTTTCAGTAACAGAATCAGTGTAAAACATGAGTAACTGAGTCATGAATCTCACCCATTGGCTCAGTTAATCAAAACACCAGACTGGGAGTTGGAAATTCTGTGGCTTTCTTAAAGCTTCAGGCTCTGGGGGTTATTTATCATCCCACAGTTAAGAAAAACACAAAAAGACCCAATGGGGGAACATTAGCCAATACTGGACAACAATTTTCTCTACCTTTAGGAGCCAGGAGGAGTGAAACATCCTTCTTTCTGTTCATTCTGCCATGGTTTGGCTTCTCTTTCCTTTCATATTCAGCCAAATGGCCATCATATCTGTTGATCTCCATAGCTGGCAGTCCCTTGACTTTCCCCTCATTCCTGTTCTGACAGGATCGGCATTTCAACATGGTGGAGTATCATATTCCAGTCTCTGCAGGAGGGGTAGCAAACATATTTGATCTTCTGGAAAGCAACAAAGCAGCTTTCAAAATCAGGCACTTCTCAGTGAGTCAAACAACGTTAGAGGAGGTAAGGAATTAAGGATGTATGGCCATCTGTTTAAAACTGGGAACACTAGAGCAGACTGATGGTTACCATAATAGACTGCTGTACATAAGAGACTGCCTTTTGAAAGAGATTTCCATCCAGAATCCTCCTGGGGGTATTTTATCAGCACTACTGTCTCAGATGCCTGTGCTGCTGCTAAGAAAATGCGCATAGAAAGCTTCCTGTAGCATAAAGGATCTATTCCTCCTCTTGGCACATTTTTGCAACACTGATGTTTTCAGCAATTTCATGAAGGACAGAATCCTGGATCATCCCTGAGCCCAGTGCTACCCTTCCTGACAGTAGACTTTGGCCACTGATCCTGGAAATTTTCTTTTTTTCTTTCTTCTTTTTTTTTTTTCCCTCTCTCTTTTTTTTTGTGCCATATTGGAATTGCAGGTTCATTTAGCATTACTTCAAGCTTAGCCTTGTGAGTATGTTACATTTTCTCTTGGAAAAGCATTCCCCCTGGCATCAAAATATTCTAGGAAACACCTCAACTGTAAAAACTACACACAGGAAAGCATCCTGTTCAGCAGCAGCAGTGTGTGGAGTATTAGGTCTGTCCAGGAGATGGGAGAAAAATGCAGCCTTATAATGCTGTGAACTGCTGAACAGAGGTATGCAAGGAGGGGTAAGGAGATCCTCAATATGGTTTTTAAAAAGGAGGCAGACACACAGCAGAGAACCCCAGGTAGTGCTTGGCAGGAAGATCATGTAGGTTTGTGTATGTGCAAGTGTGATCATGGGTGATCTAGAAAGAAGGTCCGTGCATTTATTAGATACTGTTGAAATGGAGGCTATGTGATTATATATATGTGACTGTGAATGGCAATTACGTATAGATAACTGTGTAAAATAAGACTAAAGTAAACCAAAAGAGCTGCTACACAAGAGTATATCTCGCTAATACTTTTGAAGCAAGAGCTGCAGGACAATTAGGTGTGGGAGTAAGCATCTATTTATATTAGACCAAAGAAGTCCAATATTTGTATTTCCAAAATCCAGCATGAATTCATTTCTGAGTGCACTGTCCAGTCTCGCAGTCAACTGAACAGCTCTTCCTCTTTTATTAATTTATTAATTCTTTAGACTGCCACTTGCTGAATATTTTCCTTTAAACTTCCAGGTTTTCATCAACTTTGCTAAAGATCAAGCAGATCCTGACAGTGCAGATGCTGGTCCTGATGTGACATCGGACTGCTGTGACATAAGTAGCCAAGGCAGCACCATAAGCTCCATCTACTGAAGGGACCTCACCACAGGGTATCAAAGGCTGGGAATAGACCTGAGGAATCCAGGGATTTCTTCCTACCCTATTTTGAATGATTTTAGGACGGTGGGAATAAAAAAGTCACATTTTCCTAAAATACTTTTTATTTTGTTTTCATATGCACGTGTTTTGTTACTAGGAGCATGGTAGATGGTTAAATCTGGCATTTGTTTACAAATCAGATTGGTCTTTCCACAGGTCCTATTCTCCCCCCCCCCCTCCCCCACCTCCCAGTTCTTGTTTTCTGACTTCTTTTATGCCTGTGAGGACTTAGCTGACATCACCTGCTCTTGCTGCTGGTGGGATGGCCGTGACGGAGCAGAGCTGCTGTCAGCAGTGCAGGGCGCTTGGCACAGGCCGCCCCACTGCAGCCCTCTCCTGAAACTCACGCTGCTGGCTCGGAGACAGCCTTGCTGCTCACCGTGGGGAAGTCACTCGGTTCTGACAGTTTCTCCACCAGTAAAACGGGGTTCCTGGCGCTGTCCTACCTCGCAGGGGTGTTGTGAGGATGTAGGTGTTACGTGCTGTGAGCTGCATATGCTACATAAAGCTTAGCTGTACATGTGGGTTATGTCAGTATAAATATAATTATTTTAAAATCGGTGCTTCCAGTTGTTTTGGTTTGTTCCTTTAGTTTATACCAGCTCCACATAATCCCTAGAATAAGCCCTGTAGTTCCAGGCAGTTTCTGGCAGTCAGTAATCCCTCAAGAAAGCATTGGACCTTGGAGAAGTGATCCATCGTTCCCAAATCCAGTGTGCGGCCCGGATTGGCCAGTGCCAGCTTGGAGCAGAGGCCAGAGCAGACAAGGATCCAGCC